TAATGTTAATTCATATTGATCTATGATCTTTGGTACTTATCTTGACAAAATAACATTACTTGGGCGCGTTATCCCAGCAAAATAATCGAAAAAAACAAATTTCAAAGTAGAAATTGGTACTGCGAACAAAAGATTGGATAAATAATTGGTGAATCATTACTGTACATTTGTTTGAAGCTCTCATAGACTTTCTAAGACTTGAACTCTCCAGTCAAGTAAGATTACTTGAGTTTATAGATAGTCTGTCTTAAGAAGATTGTACAGAATCTTTTTTATTTGACCGCTATGAAGGTGTATAATGTTGTAAATATAGCCTATTGACGGAGGGTGATATGTAGAACTTTGCGACAGGTGGAACTTGAACTCATATTATGCAACGGTTCAAGCACGCTTCCCCGGATAGGGTGAAATGTGGATTCGAGTCCCAGCTGACGCAAAAGTTTTGCATATCAATCTACGTCAATGGGTATATTTTATCTTTTGTGAATGGCTCATTAATGTGAGATTGTGAGCACCTCTCTATTGCTACTACATATTGAAGGTGGCATATATATATATATAAATAGCTTCTAATAACTTTTTGAACATATTCTTTAGCATATTTTTTGGACTTTCTCCCCTGTTTCCACTTATTCAACTAACTCCAGATGGAACTCGATCCAGCAAACATCTTTGCCAACGCCAATCTGGTCGACATTATCGGATCACCGCACAGCAAATTGTAATAATTCGATACTTCACTTCAAACAATAAAGTTTTCAACTTTCCGGTAGCACAAACGTGAAACCGTAGCTTGCACAGACTTAATCGACATACATGAAATTAATGGCTATATCTGTTACAATGCATCTATCAAAAACGTTCGTAAATTACCAAACTGGTTAAATCACTATTCTGTGAATTTTTTCGTGATAAATAGTGAGGAAAGTTAATAGATGGGTTGTTAATCGGAATGAAAGACTTATGCTCTCAAAACGTGAATTAAATACGTATTGATCGATTGCGATCGAACCGATAGAGACTAATCATAAGCACCGGCGACAGTGTTGCTAGCAAAGACGAGGTAAACCCGGATGATTAAGGTCTATTGAAGGAGTAGCAAGTTTCTTTGCGCTTAACATCACAAGCGTTTCAAGGCGTTACTTGCGTAGCGATATGGAATTCTCTCAAATTAAAGCTGAAGATATAAAAAAATGAATCAGGGAAAAACAACATGATTTTGAGAAGAAAAGAGCCTGCTAACAACTGAAAGACAATGGATAATGGCAGGCAAGTAAATAGACTTTACACATCTTGACTGCTAAGAAAAGCATGGAATAATATCATTGCATGGCGTGTCAGAGGTCATAAAATCTAAGAAGCAGATGTGAAACGCTAATAATGTTGCTGGTAATGTTTACAACTTACTTCTGCTCAGAAAAGTACGTTTTAATCAAGTTAGCATCGTCCGCAAGAGGCTTTGCAAAAGATTTTCATAAATTTACTCTCGCTATTACATTCGCCAATTTTTGCCAAATATCCGCAGAAGAGATTCTTGTCCGTACATTTTTCCTGTCCTCCAGCGACTTTTTCGCTTCCACCTCTACCATTACCACCTCGACCTTTCCTTTTTTGCTGGCATACGTCGTCACAGTAGTGGCTGAAGAAAGGGACTCTTACTAGACTTGTATATAAGTAAGAACTCTTTGAGAAGGAATGAACAAATATGGATAACAAAACTGTTTTTTGAGCAATGTAGAGTCTTCCAGTTTTTCAATCTTCCAGCTAATAGTGCTGAGTGATGTGCAGAACTCTGAACCTGTGACACGAGTTGAACTCAATGCAAGGTGAAACGCGAGTTCAACTCTCACTTGAGCTGCAGAGCCTCGCATAACACTCAACATTATTGAATATGAAGTTACAATGTTTTGAAACTTGCTAAAAATGGCTAAAATTAAAAATACTTGCAGATTTCAACATTTATTCTCTACCTAAATCATTGTTATCGGCAGGATATGATGTGAAACACTATTGAGGGTGCTAGGAGACGTACAAAACATGGAACTGGAAGTGGCTGCGAGTCAGCAATTACCTTTTTCGGGGTTCACTATGTTTTTTACTATATTGTCGAGGTCCTCACTCTTCCCGTCATTGAGTCATGTATTATTTCACCTTTCATTCAAAGACTGTTGTAGCCCGGTTAGCTCAGTCGGTAGAGCACCAGACTCTTAATCTGGCTGTCGCGGGTTCGAGCCCCGCATCGGGCTGGCATTTTGACGCCCCTTGGCCAGAAATATTTTGTGCAGCTGACAGCATTAACTGATGCAACGTTTCTGCCCTTTTGATCGTAGATCGCCTGATTTGGTCGCCTGTCTGGCAGAGCACCGTACTGTTAGTTAAGCTCCAAAGTTCGAGCGCCAAACTGCAGTTGAATAATCATATGAATTTCCTATCAATCACCTGTACCACCTGTCGTCCCGTTGATCGTCGAGTGACTCGAGTGGGTACCAGCAACTCTTCCATTTTTCCCTATCGCGTGCAGGAGTAGCTCAGCGGGTCCTCCTCGCTCTACAGATGCGCTGAGCATCATATCTTTCTTTATCGCTTTCGTTAAGAAATCGGACCAACAGTCGTGGTTTCCTTTAGAGCGCTTGACGTCCGAGGAATCCAGTCGGTAACGGCTCTCGTCCATCGGTTGTCGTTGAAGCGCATCACGTGTCCGGCCCACCTTATTTTCGATATCCTGGCGTGTAGAACGGCGTCTCTGATTTTCGATCGTTGACGTAGGTCGGAACTTCGGATCCTTTCTCTCATTTGCGAGATACGGGATACTCCTAGCATCGACCTTTCGACTGCGCGTTCGATAACGCCAAGTGATCTTTCATCCTGCTTACGTAGCGACCAGGTTTCTGCTGCATACGTTAGGGCAGGGATAATTGTCGAGTCGAAAAGGTGGGCACGGAGTCGGATGTTCTTTGTCCTCTTCACTACATCTTCGATGCTCTTAAACGTTCCCCAAGCCGCTCGTTTCCTCCTGCTCAACTCTGGAGCTAGGTCGTTCATCATGTTGATTTCACGACCTAGACAGACGTAACTGGAGCATTCGGAGATTGTTGTTCCGTTGAGCGTGAATGGGGCATTCGAAACCATCCGTTCCTCATGAACATCGTTTTCGTTAGATTTAGTTGAAGACCATCTTTCCACAGGCGTTACCGAAATCGGTCAACATTCGTTCCGCTTGGCTGATGTTTGGAGTTATGAGAACGATATCGTCAGCAAAGCGAAGATGGTTTAATTATTGACCGTCAATTTTCACTCCCATTTCGTCCCATTCTAATGTTCGCATGACGTTTTGCAGGGTGGCAGTGAATAGTTGTGGCCAAATTGTATCGCCTTGTCGAACCCCTCTTCTTACGTCAATGGTGATGTTGTTGTAGAATGGAGATATCTTGGTCGTGAAATCTTTATAAAGTTCTCGAAGGATCAATATGTACCGAGTAGGGACGCCCTGGTTATCCAGAGCCTCTATAACCGCTTCTGTTTCCACTGAATCAAGGCTTTATTCAGATCGATGAAAGTGAGACAGAGTGGTTGTTTGTACTCTCGTGAAACTTCAGTGAGTCTTGTAATCGTGTGATGTGGTCTACGGTACTAAATCCTTTTCGGAACCCTGCTTGTTCTCATGGCTGTCCTTCGTCCAGTGTTCTGTCAATCCTGTTTAGGATGACTCGAGTAAAGAGTTTATAGACAACGGACAGCAAGCAGATTGGGCTATAATTGTCTATGTCGTGAAGGTCTCCCTTTTTGAACAACAATACGGTCTTGCCGGTTTTCCATTGAATAGGGACCTTGCATTCTGACAGGTAGCGAGTGAAGAGCCGAGCCAGGGTGTTGATGAGAACTGGCGGCAGGTTCTTCAGGTGTTCTGGTCCAATCCTGTCTGGACCGGGTGTTGTTCTGTTCTTCACCGACGATATAGCATGTCGGATTTCGGAAGGAGACGATGGAACGACATATTCGTCCTTTTCACTTTATATGACGGTAAGAGGACATGGCTAGCGAAGAGTTCCGAGTAGTATTGGTGGATGATTTTCTCCATAGCACCTTCTCAAAGCTGTAAGTGTCCCGTCAGGGTATCGGAGTGCAATCATCTTGGTCTTATAGTTGGCAAAGCCTCGCTGGGCTTTGCGAATGCTCTTCCCAGCTTCTGCAGCTTCTGCCATAACTGCTGCTCGTCTCTCTTTGAGGTCTTCTATTATCGCTTCTCTGCAGCGTTTCGCAAGCTCGGACGTAAGGTTTCGGTTGCCTGTAGCTCGTGCGATTCCGCGCTGACAAATCAGCTCGAGTGTTCGCGGAAATAAGCGTCTCTTCGTGACCTTAGGACTCTCGGCTTTTATAACGCTGACGTGAAGATATTCAACGAGTCGATCGTATTCTTCGTCGATGTTGTCGACAACGGTATCTTCCCAAGAGCCGACTAATGATTGAATACATCCCAGTTTATGGTAGTTCTGGGACTTCGTTGTTTGAATTTAGCGGCTTTCTCTCCTCTCCTCGAGAAACGGAACGTTGCGCGAAGGAGGCGATGGTCTGATCCCGTGTAGAACTTAGAAACAACAGCGACATCGGTCAGGCAAAACCTTCGATTTACTAAGATATGGTCTATTTCGTTATGGTATTCTCCATTGGGAGACTCCCACGTTCATCGCTGAGAAAGAGGCTTTTGGAATTGCGAGTTACTATGGATGGTTTGAGTCGTCATGATAAACTCAGAGCAGCCTCTCACAATGTTCATTCCATTCTAGTCCGTGAGTCCAAATGTAACGTTCTTCAGACGTTCTTCTAAGTCCAATTTTTGCGTTAAAATCTCCGACAATGACCTTGAAGAATGTACGATCTTCTCTGAAGAATTTTTCGAGGTCCATATAGAATACTTCGAATGAATTTGAACAAATCAATATCTTGGAAAATTAGTCACAAGTAACGTGTACAACTATTCTGTCATTCAACTATTGTTTGTCGCCGTGTTAGCTCAGTCGGTAGAGCACCACACTCTTAATCTGGCTGTCGCGGGTTCGAGCCGCGCACCGGGCTGGCATTTTAACGCTCTTGACCAGAATTATTTTGTACAGCTGGCAGTATCAACTGATGCAACATTTCTGCCCTTTATTAATCGGAGATCGCCTGATTTGGTCGCCTGTCTGGCAGAGCACCATTTTGCTAAGCTCTGAAAGTTGAGCTCCAAACTGCGGGTGAATAAGTATATGAATTTCCTATTGATATCTTGGAAAATTAGTCACAAGTAACGTGTGCGACTATTCTGTCATTCGGACATTGTTTGACGGCCGGTTAGCTCAGTCGGTACTTGATCTGGCTGTCGCGGGTTCGAGCACCGCATCGGGCTTAGATTTTTGTGTCATTTCGCTAAAAGATTCTGAAAAATAGTAGGCAGCGATAAATGCAACTCTTTGGCTTTTCCTTTTTCAAGTTTGTCTTCTGCCTAAGTCATTTTGGTGTTAGATACAATGTGAGATATAATCTCAAGAAATTTGACATGAGTGCATAACTACATAGCCTGAGTAACCTTCGTACACATTGTTACCCTTTCTGGAGCTCACTGAGTGCTCCATTGCATTTTCAAGCCCTTCTTTGTGGTGTGTGAAGGGGTTAGATATGTTCGATGCAAAATATCATTTATCAATCAGCTGCATTTCAATCGAACGCATTTTTTTGACAGCTTTGAGAAAACTGACCATTAAATCAATTAGCAACTCACAATTGGTTCGCTCATCACAAAATCTGCAAGATTTTCTACAATAATGTGACATGTATTTGTAGAATGTTTGCAGTGGCCAAGTTGTTCCCACATTCCGCAATGGCATTCAGATCAACACACTCTGAAGAAAGAAGGCTGCACATCCTCGATTTTTCAGCAAAAAAATGTTTTGCTTACTTTCACTCAATCGCCTAGACGTCGTAGAGGTATTAGTGGCACAGTGGTAGTAGTGGTCGCAGTGGCGCAGTGGTCGCAGTAGGTCGTAGCGATGACGGTGGTCGACTTGGTTGTCCCCAAAATTCTTGGTTTTTTGGTGGCAAATGTTCGCCGTGAAAAACCCTGAAATCACACAAAATATGGCATTCTAATAATGTATATATCAAAAATAGATTTGAATATTTCAGAATATTCCCTCTTCCAATGTCTTTTCGATTATCTTACTATCGAGAGTTGACGTTCTCACCTGTTCATGTGCCAAAAATATAATGATGAGTTCAGCACTTTCATCGTAAATCCAGTTTAAGGTAAATCCATTGCCTGACAGATCTTAGCAAATTGAAAATGGCTATTCTTGTCAATATCACTGAATAGAAGAGTATCAAAGGAAAACTGCGATGCTCTTAGTCTTCTCAAGCGAACGAAGCCATCCAGTGAGTAGCTTGACGGCGAACTCGAGGACAAGGAGATATCATTCTCGCTCGCTCGAGTTAAGCAATGATTTGCGCAGTATAGGCGACAAGGGTGAATAGCATTTGTGCAGTTGAAAACGTGTAGGTTGATTTAGAATAGTTTCTTCGCTTCCGCTCAGCAGTTTTCGACTACAGCGAACTCGTGAATAGCTTCTATATTGTCCTATCGCGGCAGGCGTATGTTCTATATGTTGACCTGTTTTGCGAAGTGTAAACTAGTGCGGAATCAGCGCCATTGGAGGGACTTAATGGCAAATGGTAACGACTCAGGAGAGCTGTAGCATAGGTTTTGTAACTCGAAGGAAATAGAGTAATATCCACCCTTGATTCGACTTTCATGGAGCCTCGGTTTGAGCAACTGATATTCTCCTTTTAATGCTGGTCTGACCCGAGGTTTTTATCATCCTTATTGTTATGGTTCACTTTTGGCTGTTTCGCCATCATCAGAACCACCATGAATCGCCTCCAGTATCCACAGCAGTTGTTCTTTTCCGATGATGCTCCAGAGGCTGTCGCATCAAGACGAATCGAGTAGTCTGGATCACTGTGAATGAAGTACCGTACTCAGCACTGTCTGTTACACAGGACTCCAGTGACTCTCTATCATTCGGCATTTCTCGAGGATAAAGGATGGGCCGCGGGCGATTTTTATTTCCTCCTTCAGTGACTATCCATCCTGCAGCAGTCGGATTAGTATTGGCTGGCATATAAGAAAGCAAATCTTGAATTTGACTGATCAAACCGACGTAGGCTTTCATATTCTTTCTGCTGAGTTAGCGCAATGTTTATATGAATCTTTGAAGACAAACAAATCCCAAATCAAAGAACAGCAATTGCTGTGATCCTTCGACGCGAATCACAGTGGCTGGGATGGCGAAATCATCACGAATGGCGAAACCGCCGAAACGTTATTCATAATAGCAAAGATTATAGAAAATAGCGAATAGCCAACAACGTGCTATTCTTCGTAATTCGTAGAGAGCGATTCAGATTTTGAAGTGATTTTGATATAGAGCTCTTCATTAGTCATTCTCCGCTTCCTATATTCAGCATTATATCTTTGAATAATAACTTCCAAATTTCTTAAAAATTTGTAGTTTTCCAGGACAAATAAATCTACTCACTCGTCCACGTCCGGGTTTCGTTTTTGCCGTAGAGGTAAGTGTGGTAGGTTGGGATCTAGTAACTGCAGATGTAGTTGTTGATGGTCTCGCAGTGGTCGTGGTCTTAGTGTTACCTTTGCACTCATAGAGTTTATTAACTTAAATATGAAACAATTTCATTCCAACCTTCTCACTATTTTTTTGAGGAATAAATGGCAATGTTACATCAGTTGATCGGCCTTCCAACACAGCTTGTGATAACTCAAACACTCGCAAATTTGCCATAAGACATTGCAAAGGTGTTTTCACAAATTGTTCTCATTTTCACACTTTCGGTTTCTTCATGGAAGGTCTTTCTAACCCACACTTATAGAGGAAGATTTCATACACTTTCTTCATATCCTGACAGCATATTTTAAGCCTTCATGAAGTCTGATACTGCACTTCTACAGTGCTAGACACGTGTCTCGACCTTTCAGCCTCATTAGTAGCACGGTTCTTTTTGTTCAGTCACCTCCTCGGAGACATACCCCCTACATAGAGGAACCAACACGAGTTGTTTACACTCAACGTGCGGTTAAATCACCGTGGCGTTCTTTCAGAGTGATTGGTTGTCGATTGACGGCATGACATTGATTTGAGCGATGTCTCAAAACAGTCAATTGTAAGGTTTTCATACGTTAGCTTTGTAACAACCGCAACCCACGCAATCGAGAATTAGTCACTCTAGAACAACGCCACGGTTATCTTTAACCGACGTTGAGTATAAACAGTTCGACGTCGATTCCTCAATTTAGGGGCTGTGTTCCCGAGGAACAACTGAACCGAAAGGTGTCGTGCTACAAATGAGGTTGAAAGGCCGAAACACGTCTGTGGCACTTATAAGTGCCGCAACAGTCTTCATGACAAGGCTTAAAATATGTTGTTAGCTTCTCATTATTTCCACAAATCCGTTAGACTATATGGTTTCTACAGCTGTATTAGTTACCTTTCTGCTCTCAGCTCCGTTTCCTTTTTCGCAGTTGTCTTTCAATATCGAGAAAATATAAGCAAACTACTCTCTATTTTACTAGTTAATTAGTGATAATACAGATTATAAGTCTCAGTTACGATACAATACTCTTGAGACGACTTGTCTTACACTACTATGAAATTTGTTCAGCACTTCTGAATCCATGCTTTCGAAGGCCTTTTTGTTTCAAATTTATTTTTTGATATTATCCGCTGTTTATCGACGTCTGCAATAAAGTTACTGATTGAAGGTGAACTCTTAGAATATCTACAACTTCACCTTGCTGGCATCAATAGCACTAAGTTTATAGCGTTGCCCAATTTCCACTGAACGGTTCTTCGGCATGATTGTCGGCTTTCCATTGCGACTAAACGCAAGCTTATGATAGTGCATCACCGATTCGTAGTCATACGGCATTCCTAACGGTTCGATGATTTTTCGTGGATATTTTTCGAAGTTCCTCATCATTCCTGAAAAAAGGCTGTTCAGCGTTTCATTTTAATCAAATTATAGCGTTTTCAACGTTAGTTTTGGAAAAAAAATGCTGAAATATTAAGTAATTTTTTCTCAAAAAAATTACTTTTGCACTTGTGATGTTTCTGCTTTGCCCATGCATTTTGATATATATGATGACTTATTTCTAAGCAGGCAAGGCGTGATAAACGAACAAGTAAGGAGAAATGCAGTGAGTGAGAATTGTATGTGGCAAGCGATGCGCTGGCTCAATCTCCTCTTCAAACAATCTTTTGCAAACAATCAAATGAACGCTTAGGAACGCTCTAACTAGGCTACCTCCGGAACTTCAAGAAAAATTGTCTCGAGTAGCAGAGATTCTAAACAGCTGATGAATCCTTTAATCGCAACAGGTTGGGATGACAACAGGTCAACATTAGTCTTGGAAAAAAAAAACAGTGAGCGGGTTTAGAATACCTGGCCTGATGTTGTCCTCTTGTATGTCGACATATCTGTCACGATCTGTTCTTGAGTGCTCATGGAAAAACCCGAGCGCGTGCATCAGTTCATGAGCGATAATCCCCTACAAAACTTGTGAATTAAAATCAATAAATTGATCGATAATCTGATTAGTTTTGTGTGTGGCACTGAATCATGAGGCACTTCGTCAAAAGATTTTTCAGCAATGTGCCAAGGAATTAACTGTTAATATATATTTAGCAAAAATATTGCAAAAAATACTACAAAAATATTCTTACGCTATGTCTTTATATCAAATATTCACTTATCAACTCGAGTATCTAAACTTTTCCTCCTAATAGAGATCTCACACCACATGAAATACATTTTTCGTTGATGTTAGCTCTCAATTACAAGCTTACATCTAATCATTTCAATCCATCTGGCCTTTTACTCTTATTTTTCCGATGCTTTTCTTAGTGTCTTTCATATATTATACAATTTTCCTATAATGTATAAAGGAGGATAAGATTTATCTGACAACAAAGTAGTTAATTTTGTGTGCCATATAACAGAACCTTTGCGAAACACTTGTCAACTTC